TAAACCCCCTCCACCACAATTTTTGTATAAGTGATAAATGTATAAATGTATAGCTCATAAACAGTAAAAACACATAACATGGATCTATGTATCTTTAAACCAACACAGCAGGAGTCTGAGCAGACAAGCACTGAGATTCCATGGTGCCCCAGGCATGTTGAACGTTTGAGACCCCCCTTCATTCTTCATATAGGGATGGTTAATAGGACCAGGCAAATTTATGGCTCTTGTGGTAACCCATGTACCCTAGGCAGCTGCCTAGTATCGCCTTATGGTTTATTCTGCTCTGCTTCCGTGCCAGGTCTGAAGGAAACTAGGACTAATATAAAATGATCCTATACTAGGCTTAGCATTTTGAGAGGACAGTAGATGGCAACATGGTCTCCCTAAATATGTCTGATGCACCTCCAGACATAGTAAGGGTCAGAGAATGTGCAACATGCCACAAGTGCCCAGATGCACCCTATGTATCTCTCCAGATGGCCCTCAACCGAGAAGCTGCAACCTAAAGGGTTAAAAGATACTACATACTATCTGTTCTTTCAGAGGGTGTGGTGGAGTTATGTAGCTATATAGTTTGTAGATAGGAGCACAAAAGGGGATATAGCTGGGGCTCTGTATGGTTTTTATGTTTTGGGGTCTACTTGTTAGTGAGGAGGGAGACAACCCTTTATTGATAAGAATGTATGGAAAATACATTTTATAGATGGATAAGTGGGTGCCAGGTATAGCTCTCATCTTGAAATCTTTGCAATGCACTTGATTGATGTCCAGTATTCAGATCCCTTGTAGTTTTGTGATGTATAGACACAAGAAGGCAGGGATAGAGACATTGTAACATTGAAAAAAATGTTCTACCTCTAAAGCACTAACACACAAGGTCAGATACCTATGTTAGTGCATGATAAGCCACCTGATGGCTAATGGGCATCATAGCAATAAACTAATTGAAGTCAGACCAGCCAAATGATAGTGCAGTGACATCTAATTCATGATCCTAACATCAAAATAGAGAAAAAAGATCCAAATTCAACAAGACAACCCAGGTCTAATTGGAAACGTGAAACGTGATTCTCTGAACAATGGGGGATCATATGTGAAGCCATAAAAACTTCAGACTATATATATTGTAGAGAAATTAGCCATGCATAAAGTACAGTAATAAAAATCCTAACTGCATGAGCTTATCATCACCCAGCCAGCCAGCATTATTAAATATGATTTAATTAAGAGATACTGTTAAACAAAAAGGAGATTAAATACAAAAACTGAAAAAGTCGCAGATGTATACTTCTGATCAGCATTTGTCTGGAGAGTGTATCACGAGTTCTTCTAGCGCAAAGGTTTGAAGAGGGAGGAAGTAAGGTTAATGTAGAGGTTAATGTAGAGCAATTATCTTTACGCATTTATTCCATTCATTTTCTTAGAACAATAACACTGAGTAATGCTTGATTTGCTAGTTAATGTTCTTAAGTTCCATAGAAACCAAGGAAGCTTTTATCAGCCAATTACAACTTAACTGGAACAAAATAATTTAATACAGAGGAGGATTGTGGTACTATATATAACACCCACCCCATCATCATCTCTCATTCTTTACCCACTATGAGTGCATGAAAGTTAGGTTCCCAATCAAAAGTTGTCTACTGGATGGAAACATGAGGCTTGTCTCTCGATTCATTGATTGATCTTCATTTTTCAACTTGCATTTCATTCTACTGTTTCAGATACCAACAGGATATTAGGTCACAAGTGTGCCAAATGGTCCAAATACCTTGTAATGCAGGAGCCAGGTTGAAAAGGTACACTCTGAGGTTTGGTCAGCTAACATCTGGCTAGAGCAATGGTTCCCAAACCTCAAGGCACCCCTACCAGTCCAGGATTTAAGGATTACTCAGTTGTGTCTTTTTTTTTCTTCTTCTAAAAATATCTTAGACACAACTGTGTCATCCCTAAATCTTGGACTGGTTAGGGAACCACTGGTCTAGAGCACAGTAGAGAAGACAGACATGCTGACATTTGTATACCTATCAATTTATTTTTTCAATTTAAAAACTATATTTTTAGATATTCTTTTCTACACTCCATAGAGTGGTGTTGTGTGTAAGGGAAGCAATCTGGATTCCAGAAACTTTTATATTCCCCAGACTCCCATTAATCCCATTATCTGTAATCCTTTGATTGCAATCCCAATTTTTCCTCATAGCACTGTCACAAGGTGTGGTAGCAAACAATGAGATAATGGATCATGTGACCACTCCTAATGGGCCATTAATTGGTCACTGGCCTTTAATTATCCATTACTGAACAATAAGACTTTAGATTAGAAGTTTTGTTGAGGTATTATGGTCAGCGCTAAGCATAATAAATTATGGATTTAATTATAAATGTTTCCTATTTTTAAGAACCTGAAGGTCTGAAACATGTTAGGAGGTTCAGCTTGACCTTTTCTCCCTGTTTGTCTTTTTGTGGCCCAGATTTCTCTAGGATTTGGGGTTCTTGTGCCCGGCGTCTTGCTTTTCACAGAATTTTTAGCCTCCCATTACCTATGACTTTTTTGTTTAATCATTTATGCTCTGTGTTTATATTTGTCTGCCAGGTTCCCCATATTCTAGCTTGAAACAGGATGCCTCGGACTGGGCGCCGCTGCTAGACTGAGATTGTCAGCTGATGTTCTCAGTCCATCAGTGGCTCCTCATTCACAAAATGGCTTGGGAAATACGGATGCTTCATCTGTTTTGATTAATTAATGAGTCATGTCTGCTTAGATATACTGGATCAAGAGTTGTCCTTTTTTTACTCAGACAGCCCTACACCAATTCATATCTCTGACCTCTTTTAACTCAAACAGCCTCAGACCAATGTTTACCTCTATTCTCTGAGTCTGTTAACCTAGACAACCTTAGACCTCTGACTAAGTTAACTCAGATAGCCTTAGACATGTCCTGACCTCTCCTAATGCTTATACTGCTTTCTCAGGATAACTACTTTCTAGTAAAACCAGCTGTTTTATTTCCTAAAAACGATAAACCATCGTACCAAATCCAGGGTCACGCTCACCCTATGAAGGAATTATAGAGAGGGCATTATTAATTATATGATGTCATGACTTCTGAGTCTTTTCACATCAGTAACTCTCACAGTGATATTTAAAAAAAAAAAAAGGAGAATTCAAAGTGAATTCACTGAAAATGTCAAATTTGATGATTTTTAACATTGACCAATCTTTTGCTCCACACTTCAAGTTGATCTCAAAATCTTGCCATTTCCATCTTGAAATTACTCTTTGTATTTATTCCTACAGTAATTCTTTCTATTCTTGATGACTGTAATCCACTATTTATAAGTCTTTCACATGTTCACGTTATCCCTTTTTGTAACGGGTGCTGTTTCAATGTTTTCTTTGCCTTACCTAATAACTGTCTCACATCCATTCCTTCAAAATTCTTAGCACTAGCTCCCTTTGTTTAAACAATTCATTTTAAAGAGAACGTGCAGCCATGGCAGTTTCTATTTTTTAAATTGAACTATCTCAAAATCTAGAAATTTTCTAGCATTTTTGCTAGGACAATGTACGGATTGTTTTGTGCTCTTTCAGTAGAGCGCTGATTGGCATAAACATGACAGGTACAGTTTAGATATGGGGGCCCAATTTAGGACTCAGGGCTCTATTTGGTTCACAATACATCCAGCCAATTGTAAGTCAGGAAAGGGTCAGTCAGAAGTTGTGGAAGCCTTTATAATGACCATACCAACATCAAGCAGGTGGAAAAGGAGTAAGGAAATTATCATCACCATAAGAACATCAGATCCATGACGTAGCCCCCGTAGTAACAGGATGGTTTGTTGGGCAAACCAGTGATAGGCTGAGAGTGCCAGTGGCGCCGGGTGAAAAACTTCTGGGTAAAAACTGACGAAAAATGTCTCCTAAGGGGGTTGGAGTGTTCCTTTTAGAAGAAAGTTCTTTACGGCATTATTGTTGTTCAGATTTCCTTGTGATGTGACACAAAGTGCATCTCTCCCTCTCATTGCAATAACAGTTAATAGCTTTTCTTGTTAGATTAATCATTTTTACTTCCCATAAATTAGAAGAATTAGTAGCCATGCTCACTGCATAAATATCCTATCATAAAACACATCCAAGCATTTACGGTTTTGTTATTTTGTTTGTTTGTTTTTGGCGGAAGGCGTCAGATTTCTTTATACTTTTTATTTTCAGTAAATTCAATTAGGTAAACACTAACATTTCTGGTTCACTGTGTTAGCAAAACAATAATATTGCAGTACAATGAAAAGTTCTTGTAAGCACACACAAAGCATGACCTTGTGGAAGAGCACAATCGCGGTTTGATTGAGACAGGAATGTCTCCTGTTAGAAGCTAGAAGTATTCAGGAAGGTTACACAATGGGAAACTGCAACTAAACAGTGTCACATATATACAAAACAATATTATATATTTTACACATAATATTATTATTATGTTATTATTTATATAGGGCCAACAAATTCTGCAGCGCTTTACAGTGGATGGACGAACAGAGATGTAGTTGTAACCAGGCAAGTTGGACACACAGGAACAGAGGGGTTGAGGGTCCTGCTTAATGAGTTACATGCAAGAGGGAGTGGGGTAAAATGACACAAAAAGGTAAGGATAGCATGAGACTAATGACAGTTGCAAGAGAGGAATCAGTTGGGAGCTATTAACAGTTTAATTGATCCGCTTTTATGAAAAAGTGGGTTTTTAATGATTTTTTGAAGGAGTGGAGACTGGGTGAGCATTTAACGGAGGAGGGAAGTGAGTTCCACAGGAATGGTGCAGCCCTCGAGAAGTCAGAGGTGGGAGTACAGACAGAAGATAGACGTAAGTCTTCAGCAGAGCGCAAGGGCCTAGACCTGTGTATTAGGGAGGATAGATAGGTGGGAGCATCATTATGTAGAGATTTGAAAGCAAGAACCAGAATTTTAAATTAAGCCCTATATCTTACAGGAAGCCAATGTAGGGACTGACAGAAGGGTGAGGCGTGGGAGGTGCAGGCGGACAGGAAGATGAACCTCGCCGCCGCATTCATTATGGACTGTAACTGCGCAAGTTAGGAGCACATAAGATCACTGAGAAGCGGATTACAGTAGTCAAGGCGAGAAAGGACAGTGGAATGGACCAGCACCTTAGTCGCATCTGGCGTTAAGTAGGGTCGGATGTGTGCAATGTTTTTGAGATGGAAATGACAGGATTTGGCGATAGACTGAACATGAGGCATGAAGGAGAGGTTGGGAGTCAAAGAGAACACATAGGCAGTGAGCCTGTGTGGTGGAGCTGATGGTAGCACCGTAGACTTGGAGGGAGACAGACACAGTAGTAGCAACACTTGAAGGAGGAAAGACCAGAATTTCAGTTTTGGTCAAGTTGAGTTTAAGGAAGTGGGCAGCCATCCAGTTAGAAATAGCAGAGAGGCAGTCAGAGACACTAGTCAAGAGGGACAAGGAGAGATCAGGAGAGGACAAGTAGATTTGCATAGAAATGATATTGGACGCCAAAGAAGCTAATCAGTTTACCAAGGGAGGCAGTATAGATAGAGAACAGTAGGGAACCAAAGACTGAGCCTTGGGGGACACCAACAGAGAGGAGTTGGGAAAAAGAAGCAGAGCCAGAGAAAGAAACACTGAAAAAGTGCTGGGAGAGGTAGGAGGAGCACCAGGAGAGAGCCATATCTTGTAGACCGATATTATGGAGGATGAGAAGAAGCTGTTGATGAACAACAGTGTCAAAAGCTGCAGACAGGTTAAGGAGTATTAGGATAGAAAAGTGACCATGAGATTTTGTAGCAAGTAGATCATTGGATACTTTGGTCAGTGCCGTTTCCACAGAGTGCTTAGCACGGAAACCAGACTGAAGTGGGTCTAGCAGACTCGAGGAAGTCTGTCAATCTTGCATCCCTCACAATCTCTTTCAAGGATCTTGGCTGCAAAAGGCTGTAGCAAGATAGGATGGTAGTTGGATGGGGAGTTAAGGTACAGGTTGGGCTTCTTTAGAATTGGGGTTACAGTTGTTTGTTTGAAGGGCGATGGAAAAATGCCAGAGGAGAGAGAGAGATTGAGAATTTTAGTGAGAGGAGGAGAAAGAGAAGAAGACAGAGTACGGATGAGATGCAAGGAAATTGGATCTAGGGAGCAGGTGGTGGGGCGGGAGGACTGGAGCAGAGCACAAACCTCTTCCACTGTAGCGGGTGCGAATGAACATAGAACAGCAGAGGGAGTGTGGTTAGGGGAAGTATTGTCAGGGGAAGAAGAAAGATGAGAGATTTTATTTAAGATTTTATATCTTATAAATTTCTTCCAACGATATGTTTTGAGCTCATAACTGATAACAAAACAATTGTTCTACTCTCTACACAAAACATTATTTAAACAGCATGTATAATGTTTAATTTTGAAAAATAACATGCTAAAATAACTCTTTACTCTACCAAACTGTTGCAGGTCTTAACCGTTCGACGGGCCACTCCGGTATGCCTGTGCATGACAGGCAAATTGATCAGAAAGCTGTGTCTTCCAGTCTATTTTGCCTTCCCGATCCACGCTTACATACCGACTTTTTGAACGCACCAATTGCGTCCATCGGGAAGCGAATGCTTATAGGTCTTCTGCAGAGAGAGGCATGATGTACGCTTGTGGTGTCCCTCTAGTTATACTAATAGCAACATTGCTGATTTCAGGAGTGCCCCTCCATCACTGCGACCCTGTTCCCTCACTTTTTGGGATTGCAGGGGTGACGTGGACCAACTGAGAGTCACCTTCAATGTTTAAATAAAGTTTTCAGCCTCATAGTCTTTGCCCTGCTATGGCTTCCTCTTGGTTCCTTGTATTGTGCATTATATATTCTATAATTTTCTCATTATTCAATTTTGGCTTGTGTTTTGACCTTCATGACCTTTGTAATCCTGACCTGGCTAATTATATTGTGTTTATGGTATCATGATCTAGTATCATATTTACACTTTATCTCTTTTTGTACATTAAATTTGGTCATTCTAAGGTCCAGTTATACATCCTATATCTGACCTATATTTGTAAGTTAGGTAGTGTAACCGTGACACAAACCTCCCAACTATCTCTCATCCGATGGGACTGCCCCACGTTCATACTCTTGTACTATCAGCCAAAGGTTGTCCTGCCATCTAGGGTTATCAGACAAATAGAGTACTTGGAGATTTGGCTTGATTTAAATTGCAATTTGTGACAATTCAGGTCGATCGTATGATTGGAAGAATTTACGATTTTTGAATTGCCGCATGGCAATTTAATTGCACGCGATCCCAGACATGTTCAGTTTGGTTCTTAATTCTGAGGGACATATCTGGAAGTAGTAGTTTACCATGATGAAGAAGAGGTATGTCCAATCATGTGGGTTGGATCTTCTGTCTAATCAAGAGGTAGAAAACAAAAGATGATTAATGGTTAGGGGAAAACCAGTAAATGATGGTTTTATTGACAAATCAATTAAAGTGACCAATGGAGGGAAAAAAGGATCAATACATTTATAAAATGTTGGGGGGCAGATGACTTACATGCCTTTAGAATGAGTATATACGTTGGGTAGGATAGGGGCTGCATTCTTTTTATAATTAATTTACTAATGGCCACACATATCTCTTATGTGTGGCCATGGAAGGGAGACATTGCACTCCCCGATGGTCCAGTGGCATTGTGCAGGCTGCCATGTGCTGTGTAGTGAAAAGGGGGCCAAGCCAACATGATCTTCAGCTTCAGGCAGCTCCTCTCTCCAACTCTCGTGAATCCAGTCTGCATTTTGCACTGAGCATTGCCATGGTAACTCGCTGCAACACTCAAATGCCTGGGCCTCGCAAGAATTAGAGAGAGCTTCTGGAAGCTTAAGATCGTGCAGAGGGCCTGCAGGGGCAGTGCTGGAACTAATGTAGAGAGGTGCAAAAAAATTTTTGGTCAGCCCACTAGCACAAGGGTGGCCAAAATGTAGATCCCACCTGTCATACAAGTCCCACAATGCTTTGCTAGCTGGGGATTTACAATTTGATCTTCCTTGCAGGGTTGCATTTAGCACTGAGCAGTGTTTGTGTTTTGAATGTAAGCATGTTTTTGTATGGAGAATGTGTGTGACACTGTACACTGACACACATACAGATACACAGACACACACCAACATACATGCACACTGTACAGAACTGCACCAGGAAGCACCTCTAGTAACCATCTGAAGAGTGACCAGTGGATGTATCCCTAGGTTGTAATGTAAACACTGCATTTTCTCTGAAAAGCCAATAAGCTATAAATGTTCTGGTGAATATAGTGACCCTTTAACGGCACACTGCAGGCGCAGACTCCAGTGCCTGGGCATGGTGGTGGCAATGAAGAAGGTCCAACCTTAGTAGCAAGTCAGACAGGAAGTGGATCTGTAGAGTAGCATGGCTATCAATTTCTCCTGCAACTGCTACTGCTGTAGTGATGGATGAAAAACAATAATTTTGCAGGCAATCAGACGAATGGTGTCAAATTGAGTGGCACCAATCTGTACAATGGGTTCGTGGTCACTGAAGAGCCACTTACATGGTCTACGCTCTTCAAGATGATTCCTTTGTTAGAGTGCACTGCTCTACACACATCCTACATCTTACAGTGAAGGGTGTAATTCTGGAAGCCAGCAAAAAGTTGCAAACTATACTTGAGCATTGCAGGAATATTGACAGACATTTTCACCATGTGTAAAGGCTATTCAACAAGTGCGGCAGAAGCAAGAGGAAAAAAGGTCTTTCCACGCACTGTCTGAGGCAGACTGTCAGCACGCAGTGGAACTCTACTTTAGACATGATGGAAAGAATTTTGGAACAGCAGAAGGCAATCTATAGTGTAGCTAACCACAACATTGGCACTCACCCCCCATATGGATATAAGCATTGGAGAATAATAGGGCACCTAGAGGCAGTTCATACCATTTAGGGACATTACTGACAATCTGAGCCACAGTAAAGCCAGCTCGAGACAGGTCATCCTGTTGTTCACCCAACTCATAAGTATGAAGGATGACTTCCTGGAAAACAGGGAATTTGTTAACAAATTTGTAGAAATATTGCAAAATCTGGTGGTGAATAAAAACGAAAAAAATCTATTAAATCTATGGCTCCCCATTTTTCCAAATCATTGTAATGTTTTTTCTAGAGTATAGTGGTGCCTACACAGTTGGTATAAGCTGATAGGGGAAGGTGTTTTTCCACACTGAAAGACAGTCAGTGATGCTACAGACTGGATTGTTACGAAAATCTGTAGGAAAAAGAAGGGGTAAAAGGGTGGTCAATTGCTCTCTGACTTTTTCCTTTGTTTTTTTTATTTTTTATAAATCCTCTATTTTGAAGTCAAAATGACTCTTCATTTTTCAAGATAACTTTAAAGGCAAAAGATAACAACCCGTCATTCCAAAAGTATGTTTTCTCTTTTCCGATTTTGTTTTTAATCCAGATATAATCTAATTTTGTCAACTCATAATTGGCATGGCAAAAATTTCTGATATTGACACGCCATTATGCCAGGAAATATTGTTGCCAATTTAGTATGTCGGTACAGTCATTGTCCTATTTTTTCCTACAGTTCTTGTTGTCTGAGTGGCCTTTCTGAACATTTTCCAATTCCAAATTCAGCCAAATTAAACAGCTGCATGAACTAAATTATAGAGAATTGGACACAACTATAATTCAGCGCTTTGAAAGATGATTACAGTCAATACACTTTTGAGAAAGCCTATGTTTAGGTGAAACGCGTTAAGTGTTCCAAATATATAGTTTTATCTATTTTTTACTTTGTTATTCGCTTTTATTGGGTTTTTTTAACACTAAAGTACTTTTTTATTGGACCTACTTCTGCTGCTGCTGGATCTTTGGGCTACATCCTTGGTGGGGAATAATACCACCTGAGCGTATTGGATTGAGCAAATCGTACTTTGCTCTTAAGGATGTTAGTAGATTTTGTTTTCTTTTTATCTATTTATTTTATCTTTTTGTTGTGTTTTACACTCCATTTTTACGGTGTACACTATTGTGGTTTTATTTGTTATTTTCCACACACACACATATATATATATATATATATATATATATATATATATATATACACATACATACAAGTTATCCTCGGCACACTTGCTTGAGGTTTTTTCAGCCTTGGTGCTACCAGCGTATAGATATGTATACAAAGTAGAAGAGATGCACTCGTAGGACTTTTCAAAAAGTGTTGTTTATTTTCTCAGTGTAATAAAGTTTATCCTGAGATAAACACTGAGAAAATAAACAACACTTTTTGAAAAGTCCTACGAGTGCACCTCTTCTACTTTGTGTGTGTGTGTGTATGTATATATATATATATATATATATATATATACACACACATACATACATACACACAGATACACACAGAGAAAGATTGAATACACCCATATCCTTGATTGGGTGTCTTCATACGCTAATTTGGATCCATATTCATGGCTCCATTACATGTGAGTGCACACTTTATATGTATACCTACCCCTGCTCCAGAGTCCAAATATACTACACTATACTACGTTTATAATGTATTTTATTTTAATGAGGATACCTCCTGTAATGGATCACCTGGCACCCTGACTGGGTACCTCCGTTGAAGGATGCTCCTAGCGCTTCCTGAGGGTTCCAAGCACTGCAGCAGACACCACAACCACTGAACCGGAGAAGCATACGAATGCTCTCAAGCATATGAATGCTGTAAACAGCTGAACAGGAAAAGCATGCAATCAGCTTACACTCCTGGCAATCAGCATACAATCCAATTCCCCCAATAACAAGACGACACTTTGTTTTGAGGTCAAGCAGAACTGACTGTACTGGCACATACAGCCTCTTTTATTCACAATCCACAAACATAGTACTGCCCACAGGGTTTTGAAATACAACCACTCAATCTGTACAATACACACAGACACTCCCACACAAAATCCTCCCCTCTGCCTGTGATAAGATTACTGAACACAATGGTTAATATAATTATCACAGGCATAGAAATACAGTATTATAAAACATATCACAGGGACCCCAAAACATGCAATAAGCCCATAAAAGTATATCCCCGGAACTGGGGGATCTGGGTGAACCACATATCCCAAATTCACCCAGATCCGTTCAGTAGTTTGGAAGATACAGTTTAATGCAGATTCCGCAGAATATATACAGGCTATATGAAAAATAATTACTGTATAATGTGTCCCCTGTTGTATAGTTTAAAACTACTGCACAATGTCTTTGTGCACCAAATACCGGCGAGATGGCACCGTGTAGAAAAGTCCAAACAGTATCTGTGAGTTAAAATGGCCGCGATCCATTGTTCTCACCATGTGCTTCATCCATTGTTCTCACCATGTGCCTCTGATACATGAAATGGTGGCCACCCAGTAACTCCACAGTTTGTCTTGTAGTCTATCCAGCCGGACCAACAGATGAAACACATGGGGAACAGTGCAACACACGAAGGGAATCATAAAAACTATGGACAATAGTCATATTTGTGCACAATCTCCAGTTTTGTCACAGGGCACAAATAGTGTTTTCAAATGCCATATATCCCAGGGCCATAGTCAGAAGGTAGGAGGCGGGCAAGCAGCCCCCTCCAAGAACATGTGGCGAGGTCTGTTCCGCCACCCCTCTTACAACTACGAATATACGAAGAATCAGCACTGCACTTTATCCTTAGCTGGGGATCATTCTGCCCAGGTGCAAAAGTTGGAGCTGTATTGAAGCTCCAAAAAAGTGTGACTGTACATCTTTCTCATACTTATATTTACTACACTATCAGTTTCTTGTGTTTTTTTTTGGTCGTTACATACTCTCAAATAAGGACTATTTAGTCGCTGCACCTTCCTCCTGTTTTACCCATAAACTAATTTATGTAGATCATAAATTATTTTTTCTGTTAAACTGTTTTGGAAAACTCAAAGTTTTCACATTGCACAAGTCAAGCGTAAAGGGGGGGGGGGTTGAGTGGAAGCATGGGCTGCAGAATATGGGGTATGGGGTATGGGCTGTACAGGGGGGGATATTGGCTGTGGTGGGGGTCCAGGGGCTGTGGTGGGAGGCACAGAGGCTATAGAAGGGGTGAGCAGGGGCAATGGGCTATAAAAAGGTCACATGAGCTATATAAAGGGTAGGTAGGGGCTGTAAATGGGGCACAGGGGCTACAGAAGGGGTGGTAAGGGGCTGTAAAAGAGGGGATAAGGGCTATAGAAATGGGAACAGGGGCTGTAGAGGGAGGCAAAAAAATCCTCCCATCCCTGAGTCTTACCTTAGGCCAGGGAGGGGTGGACAGGAGCCTGGGGCAGAAGCCTGCAGCCAACACAGAGCAGCCAGGGAAGTCAGCCGGCCAATCCTGATGAAGTCAGGATGAGGGGGCGTGACTTCCACTGCTCTTCTCCCAGACTCCCCAGCGGATTGCAGATTGCTGGAGAGTCTGGGAGGAGAGCAGTGGAAGTTACACCACATGCACACGCCAAGTGGCTAACCATCCCACCCCAATATCCCTGATCTTTAAATACCATTATCGGCAGGAATTTGTTAAAGAAAAAGTACTGCAATAACAGGATGCAAATCATTTTTAATAAATAGGAGGTTCAAGTAGTCGGTTCAGTTGTATATTTTAAACCCTTAAGGAGAAAAGCTAATTCATGACGTAATAACCAACTAATCTCTACCCCTTCACTACGGAGCATAACAATTATCTGAAGCAAGGGATTCATATCTAGCATAAAAACACATCAAAACACAGCAATTATGTTTCTAGATTGCTTTGCAAACATAAAAAATAAAATTAATCATCTTGAAATATTTCACACAGGGTCTGAAATGTTAATATAAAAGCAAAAAATGCTATTTTTCACACATAAGGTAGATTTGACAAAAATAGATAAACAAAAAGGACCGGAACTAGCCCCCAGTGAGCATGTCCAAATTCACCAGTTACTAAATAATAGTCAGCACATGTTTACAAATAACCTGGGGTATACAAATCTATCTACCCATAAGGTACAAACACCGGGACAGGCACCTTTGTGACAACCTGACTATAGAGTCCTCGAGCCAGTCCGAGACAGGAGATAAAAGAGATGTTAATACTAGGGGGTTATAGAGCACTCCACCAGCCCCTGGGATCTCCTGTAATACTAGTGCTAGACGGTTCCACTTGTTTCTGTGTATATTACAAGCAGTTGAATGATAGAATAGTGACCAACGCATACCTCATGCCCCAGGTAGACAAGCTTGCATCTCCAGGGGGAATAGATTTATGCAAGTGGGACTTGCAGATCCCTCTGTATCCAGGGTCATCCCAATGTCAGCATTCATCACCATGTATGGTCTGTACCGATTTCAGGTCATGTTGTTCTGGATGAAGAATGCCTTGGCTACATTTCAGAGGATTTTTCCTAGACAGACTCAAGGATTACACTTGCATGTACCTGAATGATATTGCGATATACAGCAATACCTGGAAAGAATATCTACAACATTTCTAGTTGGTACTTGACAGAATTAGTGTTGCAGGACTTGATAAGTGCAAAACCCAGGTCCTGGCCATCTTAGGTATGGTTGCTTATTACCGTTGATTTATACCCAATTATAGTGCCAAACCCTAGACGGACTTGACAAAAAAAAAAAAAAACACCACCACCTTCCCCCAACATGTCCTGTGGTCTCCAGAGTGTGAGGAAGCCTTTCAGAAGTTAAAATCTGCCCTGACTAATGTCCCATTGTTGGCTGTGTCCCACTAAATAGTTTCACATACATACAGACGCCTCCATGTTTGGCCTGGGAGCAGAGCTGAAACAGGCCAGGAGGGATGGAGGAGACCACCCCATGGCGTACAATCACCACAAGCTACAACCAAGATAAATCAGCTATGCCGCCGAGGAAAAAAATAGTTGGCCCTAGTCTGGGCCCTCAAAAAATTTCAACCATATTTGCCTTCGCCTTCTTTTACCAACCATAATCCCCTAATTTGGCTCAACCATGTAGCTGATAATGCATGTCTTCTGCAATGGAGCATGACCCTACAACCTTAAAATTTCACCATTCACCGTTGGGCAGGCAAACAGAATGAGATTGCAGACAGGCTATCCCGAGTTCTCCCAGACATCCCCAAGCTGACCCTTTCAGGATTGGGCTCTGTCGGACAGAATTTTGGTCAAGGAGACAATACTGTTAGAGGATTGCTTTAAAACTTTATTCAATTAATGGAACAGTCGTTCAATCAGTTTTTATTTAACCCAGCCTTGGTGGCTCCAGGGAGGGATTGTTTAATTGTTCTGTTGATAGCCCCCTTTTGTTGTCCCATGTATTAACACCTGTGTGTTGTGCTAATAAAAGGAGTACTTTTTTTGCCCACACTAAGTTTTGGCTAGTATATGGGTAAAGGGCTATCACTGCTACATATTTTGTGTCTATAAAAAGGGAAAATAGCAGATACTCAGGCTGAGTAACAAGCTCCACTACTGGGTATGTGAGAAGGTAGACTTACGGTGCAGTAGACATGTGCAATTCGTTGCGTTCCGAATGTAAATTCGGACGAATTTAGGCAATTCGGACATTTGGATGCTTCCAAATATCCAAGTTGCCAAAGTGCAGAATTTTGAGAGTGCTGAACTGAAAAGTGGCAAAACAGGAGAGGGAGGGAAAATTACGGGAATGATGACAGGAATCTAACCCTACCCCTAGATGTGTAAATGGTTGTGGTGGTTAGGGGTTGGGGTAGGGTTAGGGAAGTGCCAAACCGAAGTTTCTGCCAATGCACATCCCTACAATGCAGCACTCTTGAAAATCCTTTTTTTGTGCAAAAAATTAAACAAGGAAAAAAAAAAAAACTAAACAAAAAAAAAATGTATATTAGTGAGGCCAAAACCTTTGAAATGCTCTAAGGGTTCTTCCAAAGTTTATGTCCACGTGTGCTTTTTGAACTGGTCATGGAGGAAGGAATCACCTTGATTTCAGGTTGCACTTTATTGTTTTTTGTTAATCAAGTTTTATTGAGAAAGTTGAGCAGTACATAAGATTAGCAATAGAATAAAAGGAATAACTTTTAAAAAAAGGTATATGGCAATGCAGTACATAACACTTCAGGAGGGGGGGAGGGTTTGTCATCAATGCTGATCTGAGCCTATTGCTGAACACAAATGTTGGAAATATAAATTAACTGCAAGAACAGCAGTGTGGTCCGATCCACAATGTGAATTATACTGTGAGCACCTCAGCCATTCCCAACAGCCTTCCGTGGAGAGAATGGAGCAATATTATCAATATCCCATTGAGGACCAGATGTTGGGGCCTGTGCTCAAGGCAGTTGATCATTCAGGCAAAGTTGGGATAGGAAGACCAATGACCCAGTGATAAGAGTCCAGCCTACATTCCTAGCTTTTTAGTTATTTTAATATTTATAGAAGCCAAAAGAATAAATGTCCAATAATGCATTATTAGTTTTGAGAAAAGAGAAAAAAAAAAAAAAGGAGGTATGGAAGAAATGTTAGAGTAACCCTTTAAAGTTGTATTGATGTCAGAAGTGTCTCTTTTAGATGCTTAACATGTGGACTTCACACATCAATTGCTTACACATTTTACTGTTCATGTCTTCAGGTGATTTGTAAAGAAATAAAATATATTCTATCCACATTTCTTGTTCGCTAAGGAGCAGTTTTTCATTAAACATCTGAGCAAAGGTGTCTTGTAGATAACATGGTTTGAGGCACTTCCTGGTTAGGTTATAAGGACATTCCAGACACTTGGATAACTACAAAGCATATTCAAACTAAAGATAAGACAACTGTGCTTAGCATGCATGATGGAACTTGTCCATCTTTTGCAGATAAATATTTATACACTATTATAAATAAATTATAATATCACAGTACAGCAATTAAAACAGTGTTTAACCTTTTATGACAGGGACCCACATTGCCAACCCATTCAATTATAAAATAAGCTAATAAGTAAAATATTATTGATGTGCAATAACACATGTACTGTATTAAAATTATTAAAGGCCAACTGTCATCAAATTTCTGCTTTTTTTATTTTTAAAATGCTGTATATTGAATAAAAAAAATAAAAAAATTCCTTTTCCCAGGCCGTGCTGCCATGCTGGGTCTTCTAGGGTTCCACTGTACTGAGTGGGCCAGTTCTGCTAAACTAAACAGTCTGTTGCTGAAAAATGAATGAGACTTGATTTAAACAAAGCTCTGAGTGTGTATGACACTATATGGTACGGTTAGCCAATGGTGGGTCCCAAGAGTAACTTGTGCAACAGGAAGAGATTATATTGGGCTTTAAAGTGTTTGAAGCTGCTTCAGTTAAGACTTTTGCATTACATAACTTGTCACTGTCTAGGGACTTTGCAAATAATCCACATGCAGATATCACCGCTGGTGGTCCGGTGTTGGTTGGGGGTGGGCACAGGCAAGTCCGACATACCTGAACCTGTCATTCACGGGCACCTCCTTTGTCAGCCAACATCACTTCAAAACTCTTGCGCATGCATGAGAGTACAGCCTTTAAGTCTATGGAGGATTCTACGAAAACATGGGATCCTCCATAGACGGAGCCAATCCCATTCATTTTTTCTCAAACAGAAGAAAAATGCTGAGGCAAAGTAATACCTACTTAGTCTCTGTATTTATCGCAATTGTGTTGGAATTTAAGTGAAATCCAAACACTGTCAAGATGAGTAGTTCATAAATTATTTTTTTTTGGGGAGGGGTGTGACAGTCCTGCTTTTAACTGAAACTAAGCACCATCACCACTTAATCTTACTGAAGTGGTTATAGTGCAATGATATCTGAGTCTTTATCATTAAAATTGTTCTATTCTGAAGATTAATACCTTTTTATTTCTCTGTGTAGGGTTGTTCGCTTGGTAGTCAATCAGCCACATGAACCCTTAGCTTACAGCGAGAGGAGAGTTTTGTCTTGAGAACGAGGTCAGATGCAGCATCTCTACATATGTGCAAATGCAAAATTTTTAGGAACTTTTAACATTTTCTTGTATTAGCTTTACATTAAATAGGAACAGTCCTGCATGTTTTGTACCCCTTTAAGAGGCAATGATGGTAAAAGCCATCATGGTCTGTAATGATCTTATTCCAGAATGGAATATCCTTTTTAACCCAGCATGGTCGTTACTTTGATAAAATTCCTGCACTGTCTACACCATCCTAGGATTTCTGACAAAACAGAGGACGTAAACATGAAATTTAAGCACTAGTTTAACAGGGATCTCCATTCACTGAATTTGACGAATAGGTAGTTAATATCTTTACAATTACATATGACAACATTTTTTCACTGATGAAAAAGTCAAGTAGAATCACTTTCACGTTGTTTAACAAACTTGAATTTTCAAGGCAAAATGCAAACACTGCATCACACGTAAACCTGCAAATAAAGTAGCATTGTGCGGCTAATGTTTCCAGCGTGGAAAATGGTCAGAAAAACGTTTAGCAAACTGACTCAAAAGGACAGCATTGAGGTCATCACATACCACATTCCTATCAATGTCCAGCATCCATGTTACAGGAAGTAAGGAGGTCAAGGACTGAAGCTATGTAAGCAATCATTTATGTTGTACCCTGTGGTTCAATGAAGACATACTGCTTGGTTAAAAATGCCATTTTGTGACTTAAATTAAAGGACCACTCTAGGCACCCAGACCACTTCAGCTTTATGAAGTGGTCTGGGTGCCAGGTACCTCTAGGATTAACCCTTTTTTTTTTTTAATAAACATAGCAGTTTCAGAGAAACTGCTATGTTTATACTGAGGGTTAATCCAGCCTCCAGAGCCTCTAGTGGCTGTCTGACAGCCGCTAGAGGCGCTTGCGTGCTTCTCACTGTGAAAAATCACAGTGAGAGCACGCAAGCGTCCATAGGAAAGCATTGTAAATGCTTTCCTATGCGACCGGCTGAATGCGTGCGCGGCTCCTGCCGTGCATGCGCATTCAGCCGATGACGTCGCAAGCAAGGAGGAGAGGAGGAGTAACAGCTCCCCGCCCAGCGCTGGAGAAAGGTAAGTGTTTAACCCCTTCCTCTCCCCAGAGCCGGGCGGGAGGGGGACCCTGAGGGCACTATAGTGCCAGGAAAACGAGTATGTTTTCCTGGCACTATAGTGGTCCTTTAACACGCCAAATGCTTATTTTATAAAAGCGTCAATTTCTTAGAACTGAAACTCGATCTATGCGGCACATAGATACGGTAGAGTCTTTAATGCTGGTCAAACACAAATTTAGAAAGGAGAAGGCAAGTGATAGAACTGTAGAGGTCTTGTTGGTGTCTGATGTGGTGGCTTGAGATTCAAAGAAAGCGAGGTTTTTTGGTTATTTACCATAGTATTTAATGACCAGATTCATTTTCACAGGGAAGCTTTAGAGGTTACCAGAACTTGTTGCTCCAGAACTTACATTACTTTTTGAGCATCCTTCTTGTGGATATGTATATTTTTTTTTAACCCCATTAAGGAAACATGACATGTGTGACATGTCATGATTCCCTTTTATACCAGAAGTTTGGTCCTATCACACTGCTTACCACCAGAGGAAGCTTTATAGACATTCTTCAAGCCACTCACAAGATTAAAACGTTGCACCTTACATGCAATTTGGCTTCAAGATCCATGGAGTGATCCACTCAAATAGATGGCAGACAATTTTTATTTATTTTTTTAAATTGCAACTAGGAACACTATTCAATGATAGTAACTTAATATCCATGTGCAACCTTGCTCAACACTCTGCCAGCTAGGTCAACACCAAAAATCTGACTTTCATGGAACAGCGACAGTAATGAGTAGCTAATGCACTCCATATAAAAAATTTTTTTTTTTTTTTTAAAAGCCTTCTGGTAGAAAACATTATTAGTGTTGCATCTAAGATTGTGGGGGGACAAAGTAATATTTTGAATGAGAATGTCATAAGATGGTCGTAATAAAGGCACAGTCAATGCTGGATGTCAAAGCATTTTCTTTTTAAGACTATCAGTCAGCAGATCCAGGGGTATTTGCCTAAATACGTGCATGCTAAGAGGGGATACATCATACCTTGTTTTTACATGACTAGTTCAACCAAGGTTTCTAATAATTCTGATAAGAAATATTGTATGAGAATGTATCAAGAACATTCCAAAGTCTTCAACAGCAATGCCAGTGCAAATTGAAAAATCCTTCAACATAAAACTCAGAGCCCCATTTTTGGCTATAGGAGTTTTTTTCTGGTGAACACAACCCAACACTTTGCGTATAAAGTAACATTACAAAAATCTATGGATGAACCCATAGTTTCAGCAGTTACTGGTGACTTTTTAAAAAGGCTACACCAGACTAGAACTAATAAATGTTAACGCATTGTATAGATCAGGGTTCAGCTGCCTATGGCGCATGTGCCATGCATATCGCTCAAGGTTTCCAGAGCCAAACAGACTCTGGCCTGTCAGGAGTCCCGGTGAGACATATATCTGCTAGTGCACCCTGAGTGGTCACTGCAGGTGGTGAGGGACAATTCTCAATTTCCACATTGCAACACATTGAGCTCATAAAACTTCCTGTTAGCACATGTGAACCTATCGCTTGTGACCTTTACCTGGCCAGCCCAGTCCCCACTGGACCCCGGAGAAGCCAACCACACTGTTGGATACATACAGAACTGCAGAAAAAGCCTCCTCCTCGTACAAATAATACAAACAGATCACACACAAACAATCCATATACATGCACACAACAAGCAGCCTCTCACATGCAATACCACAAACAGCCCGACACACACACGCATTTCCACAAGCAGCCCCTGTATACAGCCCACATTCATAGGTATTATAGACAATACCACAAACTAGTCGTGAACATATGCAGTATAACATCCCCAAATACGCAGCACACAGATAACAAGCACAATAAGGCAACATACACACCTCAATGAAAAGGATTTCAAGATATTGTTTTGGCACAGTATGGCTAAAAAAAGGTTACCAACCCCTGCTATAGATAATGCATTTAAAAATATATGCAGAATTAGGCTATTAGAAGTTAATAAACAATACTCACATTTGATGCTGTTTCATCTGCAATAAATTCCCAAGTTTTTATACTGCAAGTTAGCACTGCCCAGATAAGTAAGCAATAGGCCAATTATCTTGCTCCAAAATGGGACTATTCAAAGCATTGAGTTTACCCCATAAATCCCTGTACAAGATGGACTCAGTTAATAGCTTTCATAAGTGAAAAGCTGTCAGCGGAACTACAAGTTACAGAAATCTGACATGCTTATTAATGACATCAATAAACACAAAACAACTGTCTTCTAGGAGAAACACAACATGTTGGAGGTACAAAAATTCCCATTTTAATGTACAGATAAGAACAAAAACAGACTTGATTGTAGACGCCCAATATGTATACCACACTATAATTTCTTATTTGTTCTCTCATCTCATATTAAATTAAACCTTTAATTTCACCTATTCCTCTGAAAATGCGCTCTTCATATTTAGAACATACATTCCTGTCCTCACTAAAAGTGTAAAGTCAATAGTTGGCATTTGTATATTACTAAGCTACTTCCAGATGTGCATTTTAAGGCTAACTGACCACTTTGGATGGGAACCAATAGACACGAAATCGCAGAGTTTTCCTCAGAGATGCATTGATTCAATGCATCCCTCTGAGGAGGTCCTGATTGGCCAAAACCTCCTCCCTCCCTCCCCTCCAAGTCTGTTATTTTACCAGCTTGGCTACGTTGACTTAAAAATGCCATTTACCTGTCTGTTTTTCAAAATTGCCATTTTAGTGAAGAAATCTCAAGTGTATTGCATTGTATAAATGTTAACATTGATACAAGGAAAACGCTGCTTTCTGTACTTGAGATAGGCCTACATCCAGTGTGAAGGCCACATGCTTCTCAGGGTATCTAAGCTGGTCAGGTTTTTATGAAAAACCAATCAAATATTTAGACATTGTAAGTAATGTAATGAGAAAACCAAAATATGTGTATTTATTGTAAGATCGTGATGACTAATCTTCTATAGGGTGCCAACATCTAAATAATATGACCTTTTATATACCTCAGATTCAGAAGGCCATGTATACAACGATAAGGCAATTCTAAAAATGTGTGGTTGATGGAACACTTCAGCAAACCCTACCAGCTCCCATTCAAGTCCAAACTTAAAATGTACTCTCTAAATGCTGTCTATTTATTAGTAATTTTAGGAATCACAGCCTACCACACATCCCATAAAACACCCATGCAGCATTCTGCTAAGTGCACACAGAAATTAAAAACAAGAGTTAAATTCAGTTAGCAGCACCCATGTTTAATTCCAGAAGAACGTGCAAGAGAAAGAGACCCTTGTGATTGACACTGGCAGGAGTAATGAGGGTGATCAAGAATTTAAGAGAAGGACCCTCATGCCACCCCTCGCCCAAGCTCTACTCTGTTTACAGAGCATGGGTTACAGAGTAACTAGATAAGAGAGAGCAGAATGTACAGACAAGTGCCCATCACCATGTGTGCAAATCAGCTTGGCGCGGGAAAGGGGGAAGTGTGCTCCAGCACGTGATCATCTATGTGACAGAGCCTGTGAGTGTGTAGACTCTAGAAGAGTTGAGATGGACATTTAAAGTTGTGCTGACAGATAATGTGACAGATCACTCACTCCAGACACCATGGTGCTCAGCTAGTCAGACATGAGGATGTGCCTGTATGCTGGTAGAGCACCCAGAGATCTGGATCGAATGAGGGTAGCTACACCTCAAGTGATTGGTCCCTTTTTCTATTTGCATTTAAATAAACCCAATACAAGCAGATTAACACAAGCTCTGCACAGTGACACACACTAGATAATAGCTAGCAGGCAGTGGTCAGTGTGCTTGCGTTAGGAATACATAGAGGGAGATGAAAGGTTTCACTGATTGGGTGAGGAGGAGGGAATGTTCTAGTATTCAAATGGGTGGTAGGTGTTGCAGGAGGTGGAGTAAAAAAAAATAAAAAATAATAAAAAGGGGTGGTTGCATCTGTGTATCAAGCAAGTCCCATCTCCTCCAGAACGCTGCGCGGTGACTCATCCTCCTGCAGAGAAAGTAAGAACGTACGGGGGTCAGATTGACAAAGGAGAGAACAAGGGAAAAGAAAGAGTAGCAAATACTGCAGCATTTAACAGAGTCTTTCAATGTCAGGTTTCGTTAAGCCTCTTTTGAACACTTTCCAGCATACCCCAAATTTTTACTTTTTTTCTAAACTCGTAGCCAACACCTGCGCCTTGTAGTCACAGACTCCTCACCCCTGCCTGAAGGAACACATCCTCACTTTTTTCAAATAAAGTTTTTCTTCTGTAAGCGGTCTATGCAAGGGCCACTTCTTGCTTTCAGCATTAGAACTGCTAGATGCAATTAAGGCTATTTTGATTCCTGGACTCAATTTAAGGCAATTTTGTCTTCCTCATAAATTACTGATTTCATACCAAAAAAAAAAAATGAAACTCTACATTTGGCAGGTCAGCACTTTTCATGCACTGCCCATAATCATGAAAAAACTAGTTTACATCCATGAAAACATGGAGGAAGCTCATGTACCTTTTTACATCCCCACCTGTTAATTACTTCTTTTTATTGCCTCTACCCACTCTTGACTTTCCATTTCCCTTAAGTTGCACTAATGGACTTTAATTACCTTGTTAAGTAAAAAGTATGAATCCATCATTAGACCTCATATTGTCACTATTTTCACTGAGTTTCATCTCATACTATTAGTAATATGCTACGCCACGTTAAATTAACCCAACGATGATCCTGACCGGCCCTATTC